GGATGCCGTTATTGAAGCTGAACATACACTGAGAGGTACAGCTTCTGTGTTATATGTCTTAAAACTAATGATGTTGAAGTGAACAAAATCAAACAAGCCTCTGTTGTTCCCCAGAGCTGGATGCTCTAGACTGTAATGACGAGCTGACTCCACTGGGACGCATTCTGGCCAAACTGCCCATCGAACCACGTCTGGGAAAGATGATGATCATAGGATGCATCTTTAAGTAAGTTTATTCATCCAACCATGGCTGTTTATGAAATGGGTGAATCTCACAAACCTGTCAAGAACATACAGGTCATACTTAACCCCAAAAAGAAGTAAAAAAGTAAAGCACAGCTGTTAATAAGAAATCTTTCTTGAGCACCAAATTAGAATGATTTCTGAAGGATCATGTGACACCGAAGATTGAAGTAATGGCTGCTGATAATTCAGCTCTCTACAGGGATAAATATAAAAATAGAAAACTTTAAAATTGTAGTAGTATTTCAGAATTACTATTCATATTACAATTCAATATTACAATTTTACTTATTTTTGTATGAAATAAATGTAGCCTTGGTGAGCTTAAGAGACTTCTTTCAAAAATAAAAAATCTTACTAGCCCCAAATTTTTAACGTTATATCCACTAGAAATAAAACACCCTTTCATACCTTGAAAACATAGTTGATGAACTGCTGCATTTAACTAACTAAACTTTACTCCACAGCACTGATCAGATAATAGTTTACTTAAATTAAATGTACTTAAATTGAGCCTGGAAATGCTTTTTTTGAGCCTGGAATGTTTATTCATCCAACCTTGGCTGTTTATGAAATGGGTAAATCTCACAAACCTGTCAAGAACATACAGGTCATACTTAACCCCAAAAAGAAGTAAAGTAAAAAAAAAAAAAAAAGATGGGAAGGAATAATTATAAATGCTTATACACTACTGTTCAAACGTTTGGGGTTGGTAAGATTAAGGTTTTTGAAAGTAGTCTATATGATCACCAAGACTGTGTTTATTTGATAAATGTAAATTATTAAAGGTGACATATCATGAAAATCTGACTTTTCCAGGTTTTAAGTGCTATAATCAGGTCCCTGGTGCATCTACCAACCAAGGAAACGTGAAAAAGATTAACCCAGTCACTTTGTTTTGGTAAGCCTTTTTCTGCAAGCGTCTGAGAAAATGAGCGCGTCAGATTTCGCTCCCTTGGTGACGTGGCAAAGGAATCTCATTATAATATTACCGCCCCTTAATCTGTAAATTTCCACCCACGGCGCCGTCATTTGATTTTGCAAGCACCGTAAATATATCAAAACTTCATTTTTGATTAGTAATATGCATTGCTAAGAACTTCATTTGGACAACTTTAAACGTGATTTTCTCAGTATTTAGATTTTTTTGCACCCTCAGATTCTAGATTTTCAAATAGTTGTATTTCGGTCAAATATTGTCCTATCCTAACAAACCATATATCAATGGAAATATTATTTATTCAGCTTTCATATGATGTATAAATCCCAATTTTGAAAAATTGACACTTAAGACTGGTTTTGTGGTCCAGGGTCACATATGTGTAATATATATTCTTACCTTTTTTATTAGCTGTTTTTCCCCCCAAATTACCTGTTGTATTTACTTGTATTTGTGTATGTGTTTGTGTTGTTTAGTGTTGGAGATGCATTGTGCACTATCTCAGCAGCAACCTGTTTCCCTGAGCCCTTCATCAACGAGGGCAAACGCCTCGGCTTTGTTCATAGGAACTTTGCGGGCTCACGTTTCTCAGATCACGTTGCCTTACTCTCTGTCTTCCAGGCCTGGGATGAAGTCCGGTGGGTCCAGATGCCATTGTGCTCAATTTAGAGACTTTGTAATGTTTTTTTGTTGTTGTTGTTTTACCATTTTGATTTGAGGGATTCTCAATATAAATAAATTTCTAATTTTCCAGGATGGGAGGTGAGGATGCAGAGATCCGGTTTTGTGAGCACAAGAGGCTGAACATGCCCACTTTGAGGATGACTTGGGAGGCCAAGGTCCAGCTGAAAGATTCTTGTCAACGTCGGCTTCCCTGAAGGTTAAGCCGTGCTTCTTAATGCACTTCCATGTAGTGCTACAGTTTATTTCAGTCCTCAGATGTTATTTAGAGAGATTCATAGTGGATTTTTGTCTTTTCCCTTTCTTGTAGAGTGCCTCCTGAATCAGATGTTTAACACTGTGGGACCAGACAATAACTTGGATGTGGTGATCTCTCTGCTGACGTTTGGCTCTTACCCCAACGTGTGTTACCACAAGGAGAAAAGGAAGATCCTGACCACAGAGGGGCGAAATGCTCTCATTCATAAATCCTCAGTCAACTGTCCTTTCAGCAACCACGATATGGTGTATCCATCTCCTTTTTTTTTTGTCTTTGGGGAAAAGGTTGGTTTGAAAGTCTAGCTTTAAACTACTATTTTTTTTCCCCATTTCTGCTTCATTTATACTTAATAAAGACTTCAGTTACACCACAACCATAAACCATGATTTTCTACTGGCTATTCAGTTGCAGATAATATATTAGGGGCGGGACACTCTTATTCTAATATTCAAATCCAATCTTATATATTAGAATCCAGTCCAATCAAATTTATGTAGTCCAATTAAAATATTTGATTCAACTGTATAGTGCAGGACAAAGAGAAAGACTGTACATTTTAAATTCATACACTTCATTCCAAAGTTTGGGTTTTTTAAATATTTTTAGTACTTTTATTCAGCACTGACCCATTAAATTGGTTAACCAATGAATCACCAGATCCTTCTGTCAACTCTATTGGCAAAGGGCATCTCAGGAACCGCACTCCAGTGGTTTGAGTATTACCTCTCAGATAGGTCCTTCAAGGTATCTTGGAGAGTTGATCAGTTCGTTCTTGAATCAGACACCGCTTCTGCGTCTCGGAGCACGTGATATATTATAAGGAGTAACGATATGTTTTATGAAATGTAGTGAAGTAAAAAGTACGATCTTATGCTTTGGAATGTAGTGAAGTAAAAGTAAAAGTTACTCAAAATAAAACGACTCAAGTAAAGTACAGATACTTGAAAAATGTACTTAAGTACAGTAACGAAGTAAAGCTACTCCGTTACTGTCCACCACTGAAAACCTTTGACCTTGCAATCAGCAGTCAGCTCTGTACTAGACTTCTATCAATCAGTCGCCAAGTCTTACTACATCCAGGACAGGGGAAATGAGGGCTAGATTTATTCCTGTCAAAATGAGAAATGAGTGTCAACACTTTGTCAAATATTCATTCCTACCCCCCATACTGCTGCATCAAGCTCAGGCATGCCCTGGATGTGCATCGTCTCACTGCTACCTTCAAACTTTGAACACATTCATCAGCAATTGTTCTCTAAGGAGACTTAGTCTATCAAGGATATAAGAGGTATGCACTCTCTCATCTTACCCAGAGGCTACGAATACATTCTCCTCAGACATATTCCGGATCCTCTGGAATGTTGCTGTGGTGCAAAATTAGCTTTTTTGAGTAAATCAGATGAGTAATTTGTAAAAAATGTTAGGAGTTATAAGTGTGTAAGTATAAGTATATGAGTATAAGTGTACATAATTTGTGGTTGTATTTGCAATATTGAAACAATTATATTTGCAGTTTAGGTTAGTCAGTTAGGGTTTAATTAAAAATCAATAAGCAATTAAATACTTTTTTATGGTAATATCATTGATGGTAACATCCACAGGCTCTCCAATCATTTATAAATATACTCTACTTCGGATTTAAAGCGCCCTCTATCGGTAATAATTAGCAAACGCCTCTGCCGCAAGCCAAAGAAACCCGATAAACATTAGATATGTGGCAGTTATTTAAATAATTTATAGGAATAGTTTATTTAAATAATATATATCTTATATTATAAATAAAATATTTTGCCAGCATTTTAATTTTACGCACCAAACACTACAATTACATAAAACTAAATGTAAATCTAAAGGCTTAAACCTTGCTAATATTTAATTATACATATTAATTTGTGGTTTCATTTGAAAATGTTTAGCTGAGCCATGGATTTTTTGTTAATCAAAGATATTTGGTAGCCAAAATAATAATTTACGGTTGCTCAGATATCACTATATCACACATGTTCCGAAACGGAACGTACAAATTAAAATTAAACGTTAAAATTAAAAAAAAGGATAAATTTGCTTTATACTTTTCACTCAGTGTTCCAACACTCTTGTGTGTACACAGTTTCATAGCCATACTTTTCCAGCTGCAAAAATGTCACTGTATTTTGTGGTCTCTGGACAGACACTGGATTCTGAAAAACTGAAATGTAAATATTAAAGTACAATATTCATGCATTTATCAGTCAGCAATCCAATATTATTATTAAATACAAACATGTTATTGTTATATTTCACACATTATTTTCTCAAAATGAATACTTCTATACGGAGTTGTTTGTTTTAGGGAACAAAATGTTGCTCAATCTGAATAGAAAAAACTTGGCTGGAGTTACACATTGCTGCACAACCACACATCTGGAAACTGAGATTTTGATTCCCACCAGTAACTTTATGGTATGATTGTCAGTGAACTCAATTCTTAGAGGGCATGAGAGAGATCAAGAAGACCCATATATTTTAAATATTATAAAGAAAGGATTCAAAATGATACAAAATAAATTATTTTATTATAATACAACACAACATGTATTTGCCATCTATTAAAAAATGATTAAACATCATTGGTTACAAATAGTTATTTTAATAACTGTTATTAGATGACAGTATGGCAGTCATGGTTTCAACTTTTTCATAAAAAATGATTAAACATCATTGGTTACAAATAGTTATTTTAATAACTGTTATTAGATGACAGTATGGCAGTCATGGTTTCAACTTTTTCCTGCTTTAAAAAAAAAAAAAAAAAAAAACGAGAAAAGACTGAATATTAACAAAAAGCAACAACAAAACTCAAAACATAATTTTATACCTTCCGAAAGATATCCTTGTTCAGATGTTTGGATTTAATAACCACCCGTTTGCCCCCCAGCCACCTCTGAATCCCCTCCCTCCATATCCTCCTTCTCCACCTCCACCCCCATTAGATCCTCTGTATCCACTAGACCCCCTGTATCCACCCCCACCTCCACAATACCCTCCAGACCCTCCACCACCCTGGTATCCTCCACCGCCTCTATATCCTCCACCAGACCAGGATCCACCACCACCACCACCTCTGTATCCTCCTCCACGGCCCCTGAACTCTCCGCCCCCTCCAAAGTCAGTACGTGCCATCTTGGGTGGACGAGGACCATCTCCAAAGCTGTTAAAATAAAAAAAAAAAGATAAGAGGTGTTAAAACAATACAATTAACATCTCAATTTCAAGAGAGTTCATTAAGAAAGCTTCATCCTAAATAAGCCAATTAAATATATGGGTTCAATGATCTCACCGTGGGTTGGAGGCCATGAGGTTGATGCCCGCTGATGAGGGTCTAGACAAGCCGAATGACGTTCAGCAAGCGCTCATTGGTGGGATCCAAATTTCTGATGTATTCTGGGTCTTTGGTCATCTCCACCACCAGGGCTTCCATCACTGCCCTCAGGGCCGCTACACCACCGGCTACATCATGGGGAATCTTCAATTTGATCCTGCAGAAGGAAGGAATATTCGTGATTATCGCTGGAAAACTTCTCTTGTTGACTTCCTTGCAAATATTTGGCTTGCTCCCAGGATTCCTGACTCAAGAATTCTGGAGCACTTATTTGTTGTTGTTTATGGTTCAACTTAATGAAACACATACCAGTCATCAAGCTCAACAACTTCTCCATTGGAGGTGATCTTCTTTGAGCCGAACAGAATAAGCTGAAGAGGACTGACAAGAGTCATTCCTTTGGCAGAAATGGCTCGAGTTCGTATCTATAATCACAAAAGACAAAATTATACTTGCGTTTTCCTAGAAGTCAACAAAAAAATAACTTTTAGCAGATATACACTACCAGTCAAAAGTCTGGGGTCAGAAAGATTTTTCAATGTTTTTTGAAAGAAATTAATACTTTTATTCACCAAGGACGCATTCAAACTTATCAAAAGTCACATGAATGAATTACAAATAGAAATCAATGTTTTGTATTTTTATAATGTAACTTGTTCCTGTGATGCAAAACTGAATTTTCAGCAGCCATTACTCCAGTTTTCAGTGTCACATGATTCTTCAGAAATCATTCTAATATGTTGATTTGGTGCTCAAGAAACATTTCTTATTATCATCAAAGTTGAAAACAGTTGTGCTGCTTTACATCAGTGGTTCTCAATTCCAGTCCTCGCGACCCACCGTATATTATGTCACACTTCTCTAGTAAGTTTCGTCTGTGTGTGAAGACCTTTTGTACTTTCACTCGAGTAAAATTGAAAAAGGAGTACTTTTACTTTTACTGGAGTAATATTTTATTATACGTATCTCTACTTTTACTCAAGTACTTGATTTGTGTACTTCGTCCACCACTGAAGGTTTTATAGTACTGATAGACGTCAAGATTCTTAGCTCAAAATATATATAAGCATATCTTTGCTTTTTAGCTATTTAAATATTTTAGCATTTTATGAGGGACATTTAAACATTTCTTTCCAACGGAGTTAATTCTAGAGAAATTAAACCAATTAATCTCCACTGATTGATTGTCTTGATAAACACCAACGTTTTGTTCTTTGATCACCATTTGATTCAATCGTAATAGCATTATCTAAAGGAATGTGTCTGAAGACTGGATCTGATGATGGTCTTTCTGCTCACTGCCAATCTGAAACACTCACTGGGCTCATGTAGATTATCAGATACAGTATCTGCTATAGGTCTTATCAATGATGGCACACATACCTTTTTAGATAATTCAGTACACCAGCTCTCACTTTCCAATCAATCCATGGAGCAAACTTTATTTGTGAATATCCAATGCAAAAAGAAAGGACAGTTCAGTATGATATGAATTGGGGGAAAAAATGAATAAAACCATAAATTGCCAAAATAGCCAGAACTATGTTATTTTTATTACTATTTCTATTTGTTAATGTATTTATTTCTGTTACTATTACTAACTGTTACTCATTTATTTTATTTTATTACTGTTTAGTTAGTTATTTCTGTAAATCCTTTGAATTTGCCTATAGTGATTAGGATCTATGCTTATTTGCATTAAAAATCTTTTGCATATTATTATTATTTGTATTTATTTATTTTGAGTTAAGTTAAGTTAATTTTGAGGTAATATATAACAAACATTGAATTTAAAAAAATAAGCTAGTTGTTAGTTAGCTCTGTGAAACCCTTGAATATGCTAGCTGCATAAAAAATGAAAAGTTGATGTTGAGGTAAGATATAACACACAGAAACTCTTAAAATAAGCATACCTGAAAATAGGAGTCTGAAGGATTTATATTAAAATGGCTAGAACGAGTGTGGGAGGAACTTTAATATGCTTCTCTATACATCTTAGCAACAATGCTGGTAAAATATTAATAAACAGCCCACAAAATTGAAATCTCAGCTATTTAAAGTTTTCGGATACACCCTTGCCTGGTAGAGTAAGTATATATAACCTTGCTCTTTGACCCCACTGCTCACAGCAAGCAACAGCTAGTTATTCATAGCACGGGGGGGGATTCATCCAGAAAGTGTCTCTTTGACAGTACCACAAGATAAAGGTAGAAAACACAGAAAAGTGTTTAAATGAATACAGCTTTAAGTACTTAACTGCCTGCCTGCATATGGACCGCTTATTTGAAGGAGAGATTTATTTCTGGGATTTTCTGATTACGAATCAAGCCTTGGTTTAACACATATATTTGTTTACCTATTTACGGATAGTTAGTGTTCGCTACGTTGAGAATCTGAGAGGTATGGAATTCTGTCCCCACCCCCTCCTGGAGTTGTCTGGGAAACCGACCAATTGGAAAAGTGCAAAGCCACGCCCATGCCGCCCAGTCCATTTGGATTTGCCTTGTTTAGCGGGTCGGCGGTCCATCAAAGCATTCTTCAGGCGGAAGTAGACGTAGGGATTTTTTTGGGGAAGTAGGCTACTTTGACTTGCGCACTAGCTGCCAGGGTGTAGTCGGATATAGTTCCTTTTCTCCAAAAGTTTTTTTTTTTTTTTTCATATGGCGGTGGTTAAAAAACACTAATAAAGTGAAGGTTTGCAAGAGAGAAGTCGCGAGGAGATTAAGCGACAACTATCGCTTTTTGTAGGTGAAGCGATTACCACCATTTTCCGCATGAGTTTATTTATAAACCCACAAACTCGGTAGCTGGCGAGTTACCGCAAACTTTTTAAAGACTGCAAGAATTTAAGGGATCAAGTCAGTGACGGTAGCTACTCGAGGTCGCGTAAACAAAAGGACACAATGTCGTTTTTTAGCTGTTTGTTATTATGGACTTTGTGGGCAGCGTGCAGTCATGGAGCGATGGATGAATGTATAGACGAGTCCGGTCGGCCTCAGCGCTGCATGCCAGAGTTTGTTAACGCCGCTTTCAATGTAACCGTAGTGGCCACCAACACTTGCGGCTCGCCGCCTGAAGAATACTGTGTACAGACCGGGGTAACGGGAGTCACTAAATCATGCCACATCTGCGATGGCGGAGACCCCAGAAACCACCACGGCGCTGATTTTCTCACCGATTACAACACCCAACCGGATACCACCTGGTGGCAAAGTCAGACAATGTTAGCGGGCATCCAGTACCCGAACTCCATCAACCTGACCCTTCACCTGGGTAAGCAGCTTTCTCTTGTATTCTCGTCCAATTGTGTTTCAGAGTCGCTAAAATGTTGTTTGTTTTCCTGCGCTATGAAGAAAAGTTGTTCTAGTGTTATGACAAGTCGATTTAGCATGTGTTATTTAAAGTTAAAGTTAGCATTACATTTAGTTAGTCACTAAATGTAGCCACCAATATGTATTCGTTGCATACTATAACTTATTCCTTTGCTAATTGTCACTATTGATAGTGACAAGTAACTATTTAATTGTTACTAGTAACATATTGCATTTTGTATTGAAGTCTAAAGAGATCTGTGTTTCAGATATTAACTATTCACTTCTGACTAGTAACCTTATGTGTTCTAATAGCTGTAGGCACCAATTCCACCATTACTTGTTACTATTCATTGCAGTTAATAATCATGCTTGTTACTGTTCACTATTTATTTCGTAGTTACCTTTTGGATAGTTGCTAGTATCTATTCCATTTGTTAGATTTATTAGAAATGAGTACTAATTTATTAGTCAGTAGTGTGTTATTAATCTTACTTATAGTATTAATCTTACTAGAAAGTAGTAATAAACTATTAAATAGCCATTCTGACTAGTCAATAGTACGTCAAGTAAAAAAGGTAACACTTTACAATAATATCTTATTAACATAAGCTAACATGAACAATAGTTCTACAGCATTTATTAAATGTTCATTTCAAAATGTACTAATTTTTTTAATCAAGATTTAATAAATGCTGTAAAAATACATAGCTCATTATTAGATCATTTAATGCATTGTATTTAATGCATTAATGTTAACAAATGAGGCTTTATCGTAAACTGTAAGCAAAGGCAGTTGTAGAGAGACAATACATGCTAGTGTCTCATAAATAAATAATAGTATCCAATAAATAATTGCTAGTAAATCAGAAACTATTGGGCTAGTTACTTCTAAGGTCATAATGATCTGTCCACTTTTTCGATCTGCTCAGATGTGAAACATCTGGCAATTGTAGTTTTCTGCATTATACTAATAATAGTGATCACTCAGTCCTGCTGGTGAAATGCATTATGAAATGATGCTATTTCATAGCTTTAGGCAATAATAAATCTGCATGTTTCTAATAGTCATGGTTCAACTTTTTGTTGTGTTGTATTGTTATCATATACTGGATGTCGTTTAGCAAGAATCATTACCTCTTAAATACAGCTCAAGCTTTACTGTTCTGCAGTTCTTGGGGCCGTCATGGAGAAACCTTACCTAAGAAGATCATACAAGATACATACTCTGGGTTCAGAATAACTGTTTTAGACAATGATATAGACCCTCTGTTAGATTTGGCATGGAGTGACCTCTCTACTTGGCAAAGGTTTGCACATTACGCAAATCATTGAATTTCTTCCAGCATAAGCAGAATGATTGGGTTGCAGGAGGAGGTTCTTCTGCCTGTGGGAAAAGAGCAGTAACATAACCAATTAGTAGAGTCCCAGCAAGCCATGACCTCTGTAGCTTTTCGTTCCCAAGTAGATGCAGCTATATCAGTAGGCATATATGTAAGTAATAAGCATGTCTAATGAGCTGTAATCAGGGTGTCAATAAGGCATTTGCATTTAGATAATGGAAGAGGAAGTGATTTGGCTTTCAATGTTCCTATCATACACTTGGCTAATTAGTAGCCATTTGTTAGCACATGGTCTACAACGGGCCATTTCAGTCAGACGCCTTTCTTCTAATTCACTTTAGTTCTTCTTGTTGTTTTAGGCATTTTGCATTTGAATCGTGTCATTAAAACAGTGTGAAACTGACGGACATGTAATATTTGATGCTTTTTGTCTTGATTATGCGCCCTTAGATAATGAAATTAACATGAACTAATTTGTTGAGCCACAATTTTATTTTTAATTTATTTGATAAATAAATTTAATACTTTGATAAATGTGCTTCTGTCATAGTCTTCTAACAAAACAAAATATTTATAAATAAATGTCAATTTTATATTTATCAAGGTTTTAATGCAGTACTCCAAAATTTGCTTAAAAATACATATTTTGCATCTCTTTTTAAACATCTTACTGAGAACAGAAGCCAAAATCTAAGAAGATTCACAATTGTTGATTTGCTTGTTTGTTTTGTTCTTCTGTCATTTTTTTTTTCTCAAAGCGACTCCGTAGGTGGGAACCCACAAGTA